TAAGCAAAGGCTACACATATGATAAGCCTTTAATAAATACTTTAAAAAATACTTTTTTCTTCTTTAATTTACTATCGACATGCCAAGAAAGTATAGGGAGACAAACACTTTAATTTAAAATTCGAAAAACTCACTTTTTAAAATTTTATATTTAATGATTTTTTCTTAGCAATAGTATACGAAAATATTTTTCAAAGATTAAGTATGAAAAATATAAAGGAGACGATATTTGAATCCTTTATCCTTTTGTTGCTAACAAAGTTTCCTCACATAATATAGCGGAACAACCTGAGGGTTACCTAAGTTAGCTTCAAGCTGTCAATGGAAATGTTTCCACCACTGCATCTTCAGTTATTTATAGCTTCATGGTACATATAGGGTAAACCGGATCACGACCACATTACGCCATCAATTCATCTGAATGCAGTGGAGCGTCAATCTGCAACCTTTCCAGGTTTGATCCATGCAATAAGTAACTGGATCGAACTGGTCTTTATCTATGAACACAATCTTATTATGTTTTCTTAATGTTGACACACCAAAAATTAATTAAAATTGTAATTTTTAAATGGTATAATGTATTAATTTTTATTAGTAATTAAAACTGTTAGACGTTAATTTTATTTTATGTTTGTTATGCCGACATCTACAAACAACACATTAAGTACTTGGAATTGTCCGTGGAAATGTAATGATGCTCTAATAAAAATAAATTTTAATATCGCAAAATAATGGCGATTTTATTTAATACAATCGAAAAACTGAAGGAATAAGAGCGATTTCCATTGGTCACCAATCGATATGATAATTTCAGGGACATTTTAAAATTATCAATAAATCAGTTTATTTATATGAATGAATTATGTACCGTATATATATTTAAATGTATTTTAAATAAATTATATATGTTTATTACCTTATTTTATATTGTATTATATAGTATTTTATCAAGGTGATATACTTATTATATATTATATTGTTATCAATAAAAGTTTATTTTATTTTTCTCCGAATTCTTATTACAAAATATAACAGCGGAAATGGTATATAAGAGATAATAATAAAACACCTAACTTACTCAAATAGCGTTAATTATATTAAGTCACGCTCTAATTTTAAAAATAATATAGATTTTATTAAAAGTTTAACTTACATCACCATAATTGAGTCATTTATTTAATACGTTTAAAATTAATGCACTAAAACAAAAGCATGAAATTGTAAAATTCGGAGTGTAATTTCATAATTTTTAATCCCCTTCCTCCTTTTCAGTGTGGACGTCATTTATGGACAGCTCCTAAGTGTAGAGAATAAATTATTTGAAACGAATGTGTCTCTAAATTACAAATTACAGTAAATTAAAATGAGACAAAGCTTTTATATCTGAGATATACACGTACGTTTTAAAGTAAAGAAATTACAGACAATATCGTAAGCATTTCTAATGTTTTTAGCAATTCCAGACTCATGAAAATCTTAGTTAAGGAATCTTGATTTAAACTGGATTCCTTGATTCTTGAGCCCTTCCAAGAAGAATCCGAAGGCTTACTGCTCGGAAGTGTCTCTGCTTACTTGAGGCTCATTTCCCAGACATCAGAATAAATTATTCTAGTGAGTTTTTGGTGTTTACCAAGCCTTTGTCCAGGTGAAATAGGAAAGCCTGAACTTTGGCTAGATAGATGAGTTAAGGTCAAAGGTTTAAGATCAAATTGGCTATTAAATCATTTGATCCATTCAACAGAAAAAGCGTTTCCAAATCGCAGAAGTATTTTTCTAAAGCTAAATTTGACTAGAATTTTTAATGAGTGATTTGAATTAGTACTTTAAATTGAAAAAAAAATTATTTTCTTTATCCGATAAATAATTTTATAAACGGATTTAGAATTAGCACTAATATTTCTTTATAAGAAAATCTAAGAAATGTCACTGATATGGATATATTAAGATATACAAAAGTAAAGATAAAATGTTCTCACATCTGGTTTTAATATTTAAAACTGTTTTTACATGTGCTTTTTATTTTGTGTTTTAAGTCTAAAAGTTTAATTAACCTTTAGACTTATAATTTAAGCTATAAAGAGATTATGAGATCAAAAATAAACTTACGAAACGGAATTGGTTGCAGCTCAGGGATTGGTATCAAGAATCTATAGCTTAGGGCCTCAAAATTTTAAATGTAGGCCCTATAATTATTTGGTGGAAGGAAAGGGACTTGTTATATGTTATAAATCTTAATTTATATATCACTTCCAAATCATGCCTTTTACGTATAAGATGTATTTTGTTGTTCAGGAACAAAGGACAAGTATTGACCTTCATTATCTGGTCCTATTCAAATGTTTTCTAGATAAATACTGTAGTTTTAAAGCAGCACTTTGTAGTATCCATTAACATTAAATTAATAGGTTTACTAATTAGAGTTAGTCTACGTTTGTAAAATTTACCTTCGTACGAATAACATTATTTATTAGCCTATAATGTTATTCGTGCGACGTTAATTTTACAAACATAACTCCAAACATAGGCTTTATACGATAGATTTTGTTACAGCGAATTATAATTGCATGAGATCACGCTACAAATAATAATAAATTCGTATCTAAATATCGATAGCTTGATCAATGGAGCAGGAACTGAAAATGTCAGGTATTGTTGATACTTTAACTGTTCGTAACTTTATTTAAATAATGCCTTTAACATATAGAAATTATATTACGAGTAGTTATGTAACATATTTCGAATTTGTAGTCTTAGGAAAGACAAAATTATTGGTAAAATTAATATAAAATTTATAAAATTCCAGTGAATTATGAAAATTATAACGGTGCTGAAACATGTAAACGAAAGACGTTGGTTTCGTCAAAGTAATGTTATACTTTTACGTCAGTTTGACGTCATAATACCTTCTTATTATAAAAAGTACAGGAATGATATCAAATTGACTTGAAGGTGTAACATTATTCCTAGTAAACGAATTGCATCTAAGTAGCAGTAAGCGCGGCAAGTCTACATGGCCGGATGAGGTGTGGAAGAAAATGATAAGCAGCAGAGATCGGGAAAAATGATTTTGGCAATAAAGACAAAACACTGATTCTAATGAAAATCGAATTACACAGTATATTTGTATAGTTCTATTATAGAACTATACAAATATACTATAAAGTCATGCCGTCTTTTGTAGTTGTTAAGAACCGTACAATTTAATATCCGGAAGCGATTTAAGAGCCGCTAGACTTCTATATATAATAATAATGTTTAAAAATTTATCATTGCCAAACTTTTAAAATATTTCAAAATAAAATTTAAAGTCGATATTTGTTTTAATTTTACACCATTTAAAAAAAATCCATAAGCAAACATTTTGCTTTGCATATTATAATGTAGGCTTATATATCGATCATAGACTATTTTAATGCTAATTGCATAATTTTGTTTCATAAAAATTTTTTATTTTCAAAATGTTTTAATAAAAAATTAAAAACAGAAAGCATATCTTAATACCATTCAATAATAGATATTTATTGACATAAATTCCACAGGATACATGCTTTAATTGACTTTAAATATAAAAAGTAGAAGAAAATTATACAAAATAAATACATAAATAATTTATGTATCGAATAACTTTGGATTAAAGCTTAAATTTAATTAATTAAATATATTAAAAAATCGATTTTTTTCATTTAATAAATACAGATGGCGCCATATTATAACTTTAAAAAAAAAATAAATAACCTGATTAAATTATGATTATTTTATTGGTAAAAAATAAAAATTAATAATAATGTTTATAATAATCTTTAAAAAATCTAGTAAAAATTATACGAGAAAAAAAA